ATTAGAGCCAGGTTATCTGTCCTATGTGGGAGTCCTGAGATGTATACAACGCAGTAATTGGATGGGAAGGATGAAGGTACATCAGTGGCATTCTCGAAGAGTTCTCCATGAAGGGAGGACTTTGCTGTGTCTCTAGCACCTGGCTCATAGCAGGCACTCAAACCATTCTTGACAAATGTGGGACTCCATCATTAGAAACTGCAACTGACTGCAACAGAATGCTGAAAACCAGTGGGGTTTGTTTCCCTCCCAAGCAGAGTCCTGTAGAAGGCCACCCAAGAGCCCAGGCTTCTCTTTATTTCCCACCTCACCCCGGACAAGTGCTTGCCCTGTGACAACCTCAAGTCCTCTCCCTGAGCACACCAGTGTTCCAGGCAGGGGAAGGCTCTCGGTAAAATATCATTTCCAGAAGCCCCACCCCCTGATGTCTTATTGGTCAGAATCATGTCACATGACCACCTGTTTGCAAGGGATTCTGGGAAATGTAGGGTTTTTGTTTGTTTGTTTGTTTGTTTGTTTTTTAAGGCAGGCACTATAACTTTAGGTGGGCAGGCCTCAATCTCCCACCAGTGGCAGAGCCTAGTTACTCGGTGCTAGGCAATATTTATAAGGTGTGGTTTTTATTCTTGAGGTCTTTCTTATGCCCCATTTCACTGATTGTTTTTAGAACTCTTAGGTAACAGGTTGATGAAAGTGCAGGGGAAGTGCTTGCTATGGTTTAAACGTGTTCCCCAAAATTCCTATGGTGAAAGTTCCGTCCTCAGGATGATGGCATTAGGAGGTGGGACTTTGTGAGGTGATTAGGTCATGGTTTGCATTAGCGCCATTATGACAGACTCCAGAGCTAGCTTGCCTCTTCTATCATGTGAAGACAAAAAACCATGTTCCTTCTGGGAACGGAAAACGGGCCTCACCTAACATCAAACCTACCACAGCCTTGATCGTGGACTGGCCAGCCTCTAGAATGGTGAAGAATAAATTTCTGTTGCTCATAGGCCACCCAGTTGATGGTATCTTGTCACACAGCTGGCATAGACTAGGGTAGTAACCCTAATCTCTTGTGCTTGAAGTGAACTTTAGTCTTTAGAGAAGGTAAGAAAAGCATTTGGGCTGATATTCTCCAAACCCCAACACACAAGCTGATGTGGTTTACTATACACTGTGGTCAAAATGTGTCACCACCAACCAGGGAAAGATATCATGAAGCTCAAAGCTTGGTACTTCTGGAAGGATCCACATGAAATTTCTAGTGGTGATTACCCTTGGGTGAAGAAGTGGGGACAATTTCAGGGGGAGCTTTACCCTGGATTTCATGTAAGTGGCTGTTTCTTTTGTTAGCTTAAGAGAAGAAAAAGAGGGGCAGGAGGACATAGCTAGTGGAAAGTGGTTGCCTAGAATGTGTGAGGCCCTGGGTTTGGTCCCAGGCTGACATGTTCTGTCTCTGATTCAGAGCTACCTGAACAATAACTCAATTATACAGTTGAGTGATTGAACTATTAATGATAATCAGTAATTAATAATTGTGAAATAATTATGAATTTCTAGGAAGTCATAACTACTCTTTCATTATATCCATTTTAAGAGGACACCAGTATTAGAGAATTTGACCTCAAGACAAAAAAGTAAAATTTACTTACAATCTTTTTAAAAAGCAACTTGTATACCAGTCTCCCTTCACTGGTCATTGCTGAGTCTATCATGGTCTCTAAACAAACTTTACTCAACTTCCCAGCACGAGAGGAATTTCCTAAGCTGCTGCAGAAGTGCAATGGATAAGAATTTTAAGTGGTACAAAAATGAAAAATGTCAAATGCTTGTCGTTCATGAGCACAGCATGCCAGACAAACAGCTGACTATAACCAACCTGCTGGATCATCCACCAAACTTTGGGTGCTCCTGTGAGCCTCGCACACAGATCCAGTGCCTGTCTGTCTACATGGGGCGTCGAGCCCAGCAGGACTGTAGACAGAAGAGTAATCACCACCGATGAGGGCAAGCAGGGAAGTAAACAGGCACTCGGAGAGCATGACAAGATAAGGGCAGGCGAAGAGTGGAAGAAGAAGGAGCCTCTGTCCCCACCTGGGCGACCGTCTCTCGCACAGGTAGTTGGGTCAGGAATGAGGCCTGAAAGAGCAGATTGGCAAAGAACAAGCAACGGAGTAGAGTCAGGAAGCTGATGTGTGCGGGCAGACAGAATCCAGTGTGCAGGAGGAGAGGCAGGCAAGAAACCACGCGTGTCCAGCCAGCTCTGGTACTGACCTTCTCTCCTGGAGACAGTGGGAAGATTCCAGCTGGGGAAGTTGCGTGATTACACTGGCTTGCGTGGTAACTCAGGCCACGGTGTGGAGGATGGGAAGGAAGGGAACTCGGCCAAGAGGACCAGCAAGGAGGCGATTCTGCTCAGTGTTCTCAGAGAGAAGTGAAAAGGCAGTCCTGGGGGGAGAAAAACAGAGAGGGAAAGTATTTACTTATATCCATTTATTTGATAATTACCTTTGCGCGAGAAGCTTATTGTTAAAACATTTTATTCTAGACGTGAAGTGAGCGAGGTAATGCACCTCACAAGCCCATCAGCTGCCTCCACTGCTGCCAGCATTTGGCTCGCTTCTCATCTTCACTCTTCTTTCCCTTTTCCTCCCTAAAGTTTTGTAGAGCAAATAACAAAACTTACAGATAACTTACTGCTCCACACTTACTCACGCGCTTCCTAAGTATCTCCGAAACCAAGATACTGAGATCACGTCCAGCAAAACTGACAATTCCCCCACCTCATCCAACGGCTGGTCCATGTGCCCGTCTCCCCACCCTTACACCATTCTGTCCAGTCAGGATAAAAGCCCACATGGCATTTCCTGACATGTCCCTGCATCCCTTGCCTGTTCACCTCTACGAACCTCAGGCAGGTCAGTAGGAGGGAGGCGAGATAGGGCCTGGGGATAACTTCCCACCCATCCATACACATTTTATTTCCCAGTACTGGGGATCAAACCCAGGGCCTCTCACTTGCTAGGCAAGCGCTCTACCTCTGAGCCACACTCCCAGCCCTCAGTCATTAGCCCTTGGCAAGTTTTTACCTGGTTGCTTCCTCCCATCCTACACACTCTACTCAGCCCCACGCTCCTAAAGGAAAGGCAGAATTAAACTGCTTTGCCCAGCAAACGCTGAAACAGTATTCAAGGAATTTAAGAAAGTCCAATGTCTGGACCCGTGCTCAGAGTGAAGGAGGAAGGACTGGAAAGTTCTTCCCCTGTGTCTGTCATGCATAACAAAGCCTCTGTTTTACAGTTAGACGATAAGCCTGAAACGCTAATGTCCCCTGAGTGTACCTAAATTTATTCCATGCTCTCAGGGTCACAGAGAATGCCAGGGCCCCTGCTCCTACCTCAGGGAGAAAGGGCACCAGGATGCAGAGGTAGACACAGGAGCCCAGGTGGCCAAGGCCTCACCCACCTGCTTCTCAGCTTTGCTGCAAGCTCATCTGGTGCAGCGTCACTGCGGAGAACCACTCTGTCTAATGAAAGGCTGAGACTTGCGGCTTGTGGGCCACAAATACTTGACAGGATCACAAGTCAAGCTTGTGCCCTGGACTCCCTCCAGGTCTACTCGAGGGGCACACTTGGGAAAACCACTGTCTTAAAACGTAGAACTCAGTGCTAAAAGACTCTTAGAGGATTTCAGCAATTCGGTCAGCTTTGAAACTCCGAAGGAAAAAAAAGTCAATCAGGACTTGAACTTGATTTTGTATGAGACTCCAGGCCTTGCAGGCAGCAAACCTGAGGGCTGCCGTGCTCCCTGTCAAGATGGAAAATGCACAAGGGCCTCACAGGAACTCTGCTCTCAACTGGAGAACTGGCAAGGAAATATCCCTCCGCTCAGCCAGCGGCTTCAAAAGAAGGGTGATGTAAGTGGCGGGACCTGCCATGAGGGAGAGGTGAACAGAGGAAAAGACTCAAGCTGCCCAAAGGACACACGGGAGGAGTCGGGAAGGAAACGGGCCGTGTGCAGAGAGCCCGAGGTGAACAGACAGACACCCTCCCGGCAGCCTCCTTCACACTCCACCAGCTGCCTTGTTTTCCTTCCTCCAGGAGTCTTGCTTGGTGTCACTAAACCAGCAAGCAGAATCACTATGGTGTATTTAACGTCACCACGAAACTATTTCTGATTGACTAACTCAGCAGGCAACTTGGAATAAGAGCCTTTGATTTTTCTCCATTAGATGAAAAGAATTTTGTTTCTGAAAGCAATCTTGCAGAAAAAGTCCTTCAATCAGAAAGAACGGAGAGAATGGTCTTCAAGCATCCAGGAGACCAGATAGCGCCTGTGTGCATGTGTGTGTGTGCGTGCGTGTGTGTGTCTGTGTGTGTGCATGTCTCTGTGTGTGTGCGCATGTGTCTCTGTGCATGTGTGTGTGCATGTGTGTGTGCACGTGTGTCTCTGTGTGCATGTGTGTGCATGTGTGTGTCTGTGTCTGTGTGTGCATGTGTGCATGCATGTGTCTCTGTGTGTGTGCATGTGTGTGTGTCTGTGTGTGTCTGTGTGTGTCTGTGTGTATGTGTGTGTGTGTCTGTGTGTCTGTGTGTGCATGTGTGTGTCTGTATGTGTGTCTGTGTGTGTGTGTCTGTGTGTGTCTGTGTGTGTGTGTGTCTGTGTGTCTGTGTGTGCATGTGTGTGTCTGTATGTGCATGTGTGTGTCTGTATGTGTGTCTGTGTGTGTGTGTCTGTGTGTGTGTGTGTGTGTGTCTGTGTGTGTCTGTGTGTCTGTGTCTGTGATTGCAGATCTGAGGATTGAACTTACACCTTGCACTTGCTAGGCAGGCGCTCTACCTCTTGAGCCACACCCACAGCCCTTTTTGCTTCAGTTATTTTTTAGATAGGGTCTCAGACTTTTTGTCCCCAGCCAACCTCAGATGTCAAGCCTCCCACCTGTGCTGGGATCACAGGCATTCGCCACCACACCTGGCCCGTGTATTTTTTAAAATATTGTTTTCTATCAATTACAGCTTCCTACCATCCTAGACAGCAGTTCTCAAGGTATCAATCTGAGATCCTGGGGAAGAGCATTATCTGATATGTTGCCTAGGATTCAAGAGGTAAGTGGCCTGTTCTATTGGTCGTAATTTCACTCACAATACTTACCACACTATTACAAGTAAATTAATTGCACCTCACACTTGTTCAAGGAGAAATGCGTTTTCTCTTTCCAACTAGCAATTTCAAAACACCTGTTCATATCCTGAGTTATGTATACTCCTAGGTAGGATGCAAAAAGAACCATCCTTCTGATTCTCCCAGAAGGAATAAATTCTCTAGAATAAACAACGTGCCTAGTACAGCACAAATCATCAGAGGACTTGCAACCCAATTAAGTCGTCTGTTACTTTTTTATGTTCTTAAAATCCACATGAGTAAACGCCACCAATAACAACAGCACCCCTTATACAGTGCTTCCAGGTGCTATTCTAAGTGCTTTCCTGCATCCTTCCCCAATAACATATAAAATATAAAATATGTTTGCACTCCAATTATCATCACATAAGTCGATTCTTCCAACTCGGTTGTTGGTTGGTGATGAAGAAATATTGGTGGTGGAGACTGACACCCTTGTGGGAGAGATTTCGTGAGCTAGGAAGGTCTCTTCCACTGTAATGAATGCTAAGGAAAGAGAGACAAAAGGCGAAATGTGATTTTTCCCCACATGTTCCCCCCCTCAATGTCCCAGCTGATGGAGGCTCAGCCAACATGGAAGACTGCATGGTTAGAGGCTGTTTTTATAAGACTAAGGTCAACCTGAGCGGACGTGCAGGGAGCGTTAGAGAGCCCTGTTGTACTGACAGCCGCCTGCCATGGTGGGAGTCTCTACCCTCTATTCTTCGTGCCAGGAGAACTGAGTCGAAGTTGATAGAGAGTGCAAAAAGTTCCCAAAGCACATGTGCGCTCCTCATTCTCGTGGGCACGCCAGGGATTCCTTGCCTGTCTAGGTAGCAGTCTCAGCATTCGTGAGCTCAGTGGAAGCAGAAGGCCATTTGTATTGACTGATATTAGACCATGTGACCCTTGCCCCGCCCTTCATCTCTGAGTGCTTTGATTAAATAAATGAGCAGCATGATAACGAGACTGTCCTAAGACTCAGTGCTGCTGGGGCAGTTGGAGATTCTGACTGTATTGCTGAGGCTCAGACTGGGATTGCAGGCGTGACTCAGTAAGCACATCTCTCGGGCACTCATCAGTTTCAGAGGCGATGCTGGCCTGCCTCAGAGAGTGGGAGGCAGGTAAGCAGCACTCACCTGACTGAATCCTAAGGGCTTCTAAATTTCCAAGTGCCTTTGAACATGAATAATAAGGGGGGGCTGGGGGTGAGGGTGGGGACGAAAGCAGCCCTGTTTTCATTTTGCATTTTCCCTGACAGCAAAGCTTAGGGGCCTTATGGGAACCAAGACACTTGGAGACTCTGATCCTGTTCTTCAGAGAACGAGGTCACCTGTGCCATGACAGCCATGTAGAGAGGAGAAGGCCACCAGGCTCCTCTTAGGTGGCACAGAATTTGAAAGGCATTCCTCCAAGAATGGAGGTTTCATCTATTCTAGATTTGCTTGAATCTTAAAACACAAAGAGAGAGAGAGATCACATTTCAGGCAAATGGAAGTGTTCACATTTGATCAAATTAAGCTTCAAATATACAAAAAACAAATTCTACACTATCTGGCCAAAGAGATTTTTGGTGACCTGGTCTTTCAAGAACAGAAATGCCCCGCCACCAGCCACCATTCTACCTCCCAGTTTGATAAGACAATACAATCCAGGAACTGGCTTATGGGAAATCTCTCTACATTTGCCCCAGGACTCGATCCCAAGAAACTCAAAGAAGTAGGAGGGGTGACATTAAAATACCTTGGAGTTCACTAGGGTTTCTCCTAGCTCCTGAGTAGATGGAATAAGTTTTGTTTTCCTGATTAAGGCCTGCTGACAATAGTGGAATTTTCTTTCAAGTGTGGAATCGGACATATATGTAGAAGTTTTGACTCTAGCTGCTTTAAAATAATCCGAAAACTTTTCCTTCCCTAGTTTATCCATCGGTCAAGTGTTCAAGATCTGCTGTGGGTGACCAGACCTATCCTGCAGAAGAATGGTCCCGAGACCTTCACGCAGCTGTCGGGCATCCTGTCTGACCTCCTGTGCGGCTACCCAGAGGGAGGGGGTTCTAGGGTGTTCTCCTTCAACTGGTACGAAGACAATAACTATAAGGCCTTCCTGGGGATTGACTCCACAAGGAAAGATCCTATCTACACTTATGACAAAAGAACAAGTAAGTTTTCTGAGTCTTTGGGGCAAATCAGCCGCTGATTAAGAGGATGGGTTACACTTACTGGTGAAATCAGTCCTGGGGTTGAGGCCCCATGGGACTTGACAAGTGGCCTCTGGCAGAGAGACTTCTTCCAGAAAGTCCACTTTCCCTTGTAGAAGAGAGTGGTGCTTCTAGGACATTCTGGATGTGTAGGGTCACTTGAAAGGGAATAGAGAGCATTTCCCTCTGGTGTAACTGAACTGGCATTCAGTCCTAGAGACAGAGAAAAGTGACAAATAATTGGAAGCTACAAGCAAAGCTCAGGTTATGAGGGTCCTAGTAAGTCATCAAGTCTGAGGCACCTGTTTCACAGACGGCACGATGAAAATCTGTGTGACTGGCACTGAATTACGTTCAAATGGCCAGTTCCTGGCAAGCCACCTGCCTTGCCTTGTCTTGTATCCTGGCTCTGGTGAGATAAAGCAAGATAGAGTGAGGAAGAAATACAAATGGGTGACCCTCTGGTTAAAAAATTGCAAAGAGACACATCAAAAGGAATTGGCTCTAAGACACACAGCAAAAAAGAGACCGTTACCAGAAGTGAAATTCTTTTTTTATTTTATTTTCGCTCTAGCATACATTAATAACACAAGGGGATTTCACTGTGGTCGTTCTGTATGTGCCTGCAGTGTGCTTTGGACAAGTTCCCCTCATCATCTCTCTATGTCTTCTGCTCTCCTCTCCCCTCCCCTCCCCTCCTCTCCCGCTCTCCCCTCCCCTCCCCTCCCCTCCTCTCCTCTCCTCTCCCCACTGAAGTGAAATTATTGAGGCTAGAGCTGAGATTGCAAAGGGAATTTTACTTGGGCTTTCATTTCCTTTCATCTGAGAATGGCCTCTGTTTCCTGCGATAATCACAAGCAAGCCTCCAACTCCTTCTAGAGCAGGATAAACCACAAGGGAGGCCCCGGGCAGTGTCCCTCTGATGAAGCCATTGCAACAGGTTCTGTGGTTCACGCCTATAATCCTAGCTACTTAGGAGGCTGAGATTAGGAGGATCCCAACTCTAAGCCAGCCCTGGCACACAGTTTGTAAGACCCCATATCCAAAATAACCAAAGCAAAATGGACCGGAGGTGTGGCTCAAGCGATAGAGAAGCTGCTGTGCAAGTGTGAAGTCTTGAGTTCAAACCCCAGTCCCACCAAATTAACAACAACCACAAAAAGGGCTCTGTAGCATTTTGTTACTAACTGGTTATTGGTGAGGTCCAGTCTGCAATGCATGACATCATTGTCAAATCCTCCAGCGTGGAAATGAATGTGAATGAGACCTGTGGCTCAATGCACGAAGGACTATGTTCAGTTATGAGCAACAGGGAGTTTCTAAAACTACCCCTTCTCTCCCACAGCACCCTTCTGCAATGCATTGATCCAGAGCCTGGAGTCAAACCCTCTAACCAAAATAGCATGGATGGCAGCAAAGCCTTTGCTGATGGGAAAAATCCTCTTCACTCCTGACTCCCCTGCCGTGCAAAGGGTCCTGAAGAATGTAGGTTCCCAGCCAATCTTGTCCCTTGTACCATAGACCTCCCAGGCCAGTGTGTATGCGTGCATGTGTGCCGTAATCTGCTCCCCCAGCAGGCACCGAGCCCCCTGGTTGTGTTTCACTGAGTGGATTCTTGGGATCCTCTCCATCCATAGCCATCCTACAACAGCTTCTGCAGTGGCTCTGCCTCGGCCTTCCTCCCTAAAATGAGGTTTCCTTCCCGCTGCCGAATTCCATCCCTAATGGAAGGGTTCAGAGTTCTCTGAATCCTGGCTTCCTGGAACAGACAAAGAGAGGAAGGAAGAGCATTTGGCTGCGAGGAGTCCAAATACAGTGTTTAGTAGTCCTGAGACAATGCTGTGATCAGTAGTTCTTGCACCTCTGAGACACTAGCAAATTAGATGCCGTCAGTCTGGAAGCTGGCAACACTGGTGTTCAGGGAAACACCAGTAGACCAGGAAAATAAAAACCCCATGAAAAGCCTTCCCCAAACACTAAGGGTTTATGATGGGCAGGAACGATAAAACCAAAGGTTCGTGCTCAATTTTTTACCTCCCTTCTTGTCTGTCTCTGTCTCTCCGTCTGTCTGTCTGATTTTAGGCCAATTCAACTTTTGAAGAGCTGGCGCGCCTCAGAAAGCTGATTGGAGTCTGGGGAGAAGTGGGCCCCCAGATCTGGTCCTTCTTTGACAAGAGCACACAGATAACCATGATCAGGGTAAGGACGGCTTGCGTCAGAGGACGGGGGATGGGGTAGAGGGGAAGGGCCGGGAAAGTTCCATTTATTTCCTTTTCCCAGGAAGGAGTTCATCACTACCAGGATTGGATTGAACTATAGCAAACAGGGCTCAAAGGTGCTCATTCTGAAAGTTGTCACCAAGGGAAGTCACTGGCTCTGAGTGGGGAATATGTGTCTTGAATTCTAGGGAAAATCTAAAAGCTGCCACAAGACCATGACTTTGTCAGGTTTATGAATTCACTTGCAGGCCTCCGATTCCAAGGGCCAGGATGGTCACCTGGCTCTGCCTGGTCTCATTTGCAGCTTTGCAAAGCCAAGAAACTAGAGTTCTGTGCAGCAGGGAAAATTAAAAGAGAAAAAACAACAAAGATCCATTCAAAATAACACTTCCTCTGTATCATTCTACATGCCCCACCTCTCTCCATCACCCCCTATTTGCCTTCCCTCTATGCTAGAGGGGTGATGCAGGGGTGTTTGGGGAAAATGGGACAGAGAGAGGTACACCTTGTAATGGAGGGAAAGGAAAACCCACTAGATTTTTCAGGAGCCTTAGTATCTCTCCTTACTCATTAAAAATTGGAAATGCCCTCAGAACAACCAGAGCCTTTGTGGAAGTTCTCATTTCTGTGACTGTGTTTCTTCCCAAGGATACCCTGGAGCACCCAACAGTAAAAGACTTCATGAATAGACAGCTTGGCGAAGAAGGCGTTTCTGCTGAAGCCATTCGAAACTTCCTCTCCAAGGGTCCCCGAGAGAGCCAGGGTGACGACATGATCAACTTTGACTGGAGGGACATGTTCAACCTCACAGACCGCTCCCTACGCCTGGCTAGTCAATACCTTGAGGTAAGGGCAACAAGCAACCTGGGGGCCACCGTGAACCCCCTGTAGATAGTCCCATGGGTGGGACCAGAGATCCATTAGCCAGTCAAAGTGGTCTTGGGTTTAGACTTTCATTTTCCCCACTGGAAAAAACAAGAATTCCCATGGACCCCCAACAGGTCCTGTCGTCTACAGCTTTTGTCCACAGCTGAGCAGTTTCCTTGTCGTATCTCCTTCCTCATAAGTGTTCCCTCGCCCCCGTCTTGCAGCACGTCCATCCTCCACCCCTCCCATCAGCCATTGCTTCAATGACCATCTACCTATTTCCCCATGTCCACCAACCTCAAGTCCCAGGTCCATGGCTTCCTGGACAATCCTTCCCGAGAGCCGAGGGCACATCAGGCTCAACATGTCCTCCCCCATCCAGCCTATCCTCCTGCATTACCTGTCCTGATTAATGTCATCAGTGTTTGTCCAGATTCTCACGCTGGGGATTTTAGGGTCACCCTTACTTTTCTTTCTTCTTCATTCCTTGAGTGATACTTGGCGCCGGCATTTTTAGCTTCCTTTAATCCCCCTACAACTCCATGAAGTATGTGCTGTTATTTCTGCCGGGACATGCATGCAGACGCCAAGGCTTAACAAGGTTGAATAAGATCCCACAGCTGTTAGGAGCAGCAGGCAGGATCCAAGTCTGGGTGTGCCCAAATTCAGAGCCAGCCCGGCTGACCTCTCGGTTCCCCTGTCACATCCGGTCACCCAGCTCTGCCTTCTCCATCTCCTGTACATGTCTCATCTCTGCCTCTTGCTTTCTGGGCTCTCTAAGGCCTTGCCATCTTGGCACCAGGCTGTTCTAGCAGCTTCTTCCCTGGATTCCAGGGTCTGGTTCTGTTGGCTCAGGCATTGCTCCACACTGACACCAGTTACACTCCACACACACATCTGCTTGCCTCACCCTCACAGTTAAAATCTTCATGACTCCATCCCCAAAGCACTTAGCCAGCACCCCTCCCTGGTGGTGCCTCAGCTGCTGACAGCCCTCCATGGTCATCCTGACACCAGAAATTCCACAAAAAGAGAGAGCGGTTTTTCTACAGAGTAAACAGTACTCCCCAAGAGTTCCCCTATTGGTCAGGCTCTGATTGGGAGGCCTGGGTCACACGGCCACTATGGGACTACTGTGAAGTGGGGGGCAATGTTTTCCCGAAAGAAGAAACGGAGTCTACTAAAGCCTGCAGTGATCCCCCCACCCCCCCACCCCCACCCCCGCCTCTTCTTTTTCAGTTTTAGGGAATCAAGCCCAGGGCCTTACGCATGTTAGGCCAGTGCTCTACCACTGGTGCTCTACCACCCACAGTCCTACCTACTCGCTCAGACTCGGCCCTCAAATAGACCCTTCTGTGTTCACAGAGGCTTGGTCATTTTCTCCTCTGAGCAACCCGGCCCCTCCCCTCATATCTGCCCGACCTCTGTCCCAGTTCAATTACAGTGAGCTGCCCATGTGTCCACTTCTGGCAGAGTGGCCAGATGGAGCTTACTCAGTGCCAGCTAGTCTTAGTCATTTCCAAATTCTTGACCTTACACCCTCTGGGAATGTGCCCCTCTAGGGGCTGACCTCACCCACGGACTGGCTGGGCCTAAGCAGGTAGAGGAAGCTCTGAGCAATAGGACAGGAAGTTAAGCTGAGGACCTCAGGAGCAAGCTCCCCGACCTTGAACTTGTGGGCAGAACAACAACCAGCTAATGAGAAAGAGCCCAGCTTCATGGTCACCCTCTTCAGGTCCCTGGAAGTGAGAGAACCCGCTCCCTAGGTGGCTTTTCAGAAGGTGTCAGGCCTGGTGGCCATAGTTCTGGAGTTCAGGTCATTCCTAAGCAGCTAGCAACTCAGCTGAAGCAACAAGGACCTGGAGTGTGATTTACAGGACACATCCCTGAGCATCAACCCAGATCACCTGATGGAATTTCCAGGGAGAAGCCTGGTCATCTGCATATTTGCAAACCTATTAGATTTGGGGGGCCTTGATACAACTGCACACAACAGCATAGCAGACATTGCCCTCCTATCCTGGTGCCTCTATCTGCTAAGCCTGCATCCCTGACTAGGCCCCACCATCCACCCTTGTCCTGGGGCCAGGGAGAGGAGAAGGGGGAGAGCTACCCCTTTAGTTTTGCAGAGTGGAGTTCAGTAGTTCTCACAGTGTTTCATGAAGCACTGTAAAGAATACTTGTTTTTTGTTTAGTTTGACATTCCAATCATGATTTAAAGGTCTTGTTTTCTTGAGGGATTTTTTTCAGGTTGTTTGTGCTCAATGTAGCATCCTACAGGTGCTTAATACACATCCACCACTCACATAGCTAAGAATTCAGGCTCTGCATTGAGTCTTGTGTGTGTTCAAATCTCTATTCTTTGTGCCTCAGTTTCCACATCTGAAAGATGAGGACATGAATAGAATTTACCTAATAGGCTTGTTAATGAGAATTCAGTGAGCAATTCATTCATGCTCATATGGTAAGCTCTTAATAAATATTAAAAGAATGAAAACAAACCTGGTCTACACCAGCCTCATGCTCCCTAGGGATCATGAACGTGCTAATCGATTGATCGATCTCACCTCAGCCACCAGGACATCCCAAGCAGTGAGGGAGACCACATGGTGTGGCCAAAGGTCAGTGCCTCCCCCAGGGATTTCTGAGAGGTGTGTTGATGGCAGCTGAAGCCCAGCATGTAGAATTGTGCCCTTTCTGATCTTCCTGCTCTTGGGGGGCAGGGGAAGAAAGCAAGGGGCCCAGGAACTGGAAGAAGAGGCTGTGGGGAGCATGAAGTCTCTTCCACTACCCGGGAATGTTCACTCTTGCTCTTATGTTTTGGGGTGTCTGGAGGAGACCTGACCATCCTCCCACCCCACCCTGAGGATCGAAGACGGCTCAGTAGCACACAGGCACTGAAAGCTCTTCCCCAACCACTCCAAAAGTCTCTCCAGGACAGGGAAGGAAGGACACTGTGGAGCTGATTGCACAGTCTGGGACTCTTTTGATCACAGGACTTTGCTGGAGAGACTTAGCCCTTCTTCCTCGGCCCGCTCATTGCTGCATCCCCGCCTATCCTGAAAACATTTAAAAAATCATTTAAAGAAAATTAGCAAATGAACTCCTTAGAATGAGAGTCTGTCACCCCAATCCATGTAACATCGAGCAGTGATAGACGCTCTGAGAACTAAGAGCATATCCGAGCCTTTGCTCATGACAGGAAGTAAGGGAGAGCAGTCCAGTGGATTTCTTTTCACTCACTAAAAGGGCCAGAGTCTTGGTGGGGCCACTCTGTGCCAACGTCGGGCAGCTGCCTGTGGGACCTTACCACCTGTCCTGGGGACAATGGGCCAGCATCTCTGTTTCTGTCACCCTGTCCCTTGCAGAGTCACTTTCTCATTCTCAGTCTTAATTTTCTGGTAAAGTTCCTAGTAACAATTACAAGGACCTCCTAAAGCTGTCGTTGAGGACAAAATGAGAGGAGGACACAGAGCACGGGCGACTCCCCCACCACTTATCATACAGGCATGCCAGGGTGGTGAGGGTGGTGAAGGCTGTGGGTCCCTTACCTGCCTTTGCAGTGGACTGGGATGAAAGGACAGCTGGGCTTGTGGTGGTGACAGGCACACATGGCTCCTCTGGCCCACGGACCAATGAGGAATGCACTGCTTCTCAGCTTGAAGAACTTCGTGTGAGCGTGAACCAGGACCTGCAGGGTTACTCTCCGTGTTATCTGTAGTGAGCTGGCTCAGCTGAGGCCACAGGAGGACAGTGCTGGGCCCACACTGGACTTCTGTGCACCATGGCTGGGTGGCTCTGGGTTTTTTCTTATCCTCAGACCTCCCCCCACCACTAAGGAAGAGGTTTCTAAACTCTGTTTCATGCCATATCTAGGTTCTGTCTTTCCCTAATCCCCTGTCCTTCACTGAAAAAAAGTGAAAGTAGACCTCTTGACTAGAAGGTGGGCAGTGGTCTAGGGAAAGGGGTGATGGCAACATTTGGGGAGCCCCATGCCTCTCACATGTGGAACGATCGTTTCCATATGCCTTCCATCCCCCCTTCTTCAACCCAAGCAGACTGAGAGCAAATGAGGCCTGGCGTAGGTAAATCTGAAACTCCCACCTGTGTACTTTTAAACTCATAACTTTGTGAGTTTCTATCCACGTATATCTTGCTTCTGGAAAAAAAGCAGAATTCGAAAATTAATAAATTATTCCTCAGGTTACCCTTTAGTTAAGACAAACACAGATGCCCCTCCCCTTTGATTTCTCGGTTTAGCAAAAGGTTAAGCCTGGCGCAGATAAAATACTATTTAGAGTTCACTGTGGATTTTAATCAGGTCTTAAATTTCACATCAGGAAGCTGAAGTCAGCCAGATTTTAATAGGAAAATACCTCCGATCAAGGTATAAAAATAGTTCTTTAACCAGTAACTACTTTTCTCTACATCGTGAAAAAAAACATGCATTCATTAACTGCTTTTCCTGACTGTTCACACAGTTAATATGTGTACATAACTCTTCATTATCTACATGTTGATTATCTTGGTGAATTATCAGTAGTCGGGTTTTTGGACTGGTTTTCTTCTGCACCTTACATGTTTCTGGCCACCTCCCAACCAGAATGTTCTCGGGGAGTGTATTTTTCACGCTAGAATAAGAAAAAAATAGGATTAGTAAGATAAAGGTGGCAAGCAGTCAAGGCGCTATAGGCAGACGTACAGGTGTTCGCTAGCTACCCTTGGCTGCTGACACGAGTTGGGCAGGTAGGGAGGAATCGAGCGACAGGCAGACAGAGAGCAGAAGAGCAATATTGTCTCAAGTGCCACGAACTCCAGCAAGCAACTCACAGACACGGATGCCTCGTCAATCTCTTGGGAACTTAGAACTGGACTGAGGATGGACTCGAGGCTGGGGGTCAGCTGGGGTCATGGCATGGCCCCTGCTGTGAGTTAGGACCAGGGAGGGGAGATTTACCTGTCGTCTCCTGCCACCCTCT